AATGGTGCAGAGATAAGATATTAAAATGCAGCTGGGAGACAAAGTCCTCCCTGCCTGTATTGTATTGTACGCTTACTTAAGTTCCTTTTATCTGTTGCCACATTTGTATGACATGCATTACACTCGCCTAATCGTAAAATCCAACTATTTACCAAAAGTATTGTAGCGAGTTCAAGTATATAAAGCAATTGTGCAATAATCATGACAGGCCTTTGTGTGATGACCATCGAATTTAAATCCATAACACACAGCAGCACTACTTGGGAAGTGCTCGCATGAAATTATGAGAGTAGGCTAATCTTTTATATTGACTGAAATATCACTGTAGCTAGATATCACAAAGCCAATACTGTAACGAGTCAATGTGTCCAGATTAATCTCATAACTACCAAACTAGATTTGAGCTTCTAACAAATGTGGTATTTACTTTTCATTCTGATTTAGGCTTTTTGCACGAGAAACTCATGCACAAGTAGTGGGTCGTTTTTTAATGCAGTACTTCTCGTGTACTTCTTGTGTACCGTATTATCAGTAAAGTTGTAGTCCAGTGAGTACTCCAGTTTTCCGAGGGCCTCCTTCTCCTCGTCATCCTTCCCATCCTCTCCATCCTGGAAGACATGAAACAGTTCAAAGTCAAGTCAGAGTCAACTTTATTGTCAATATTTCAGTTTGTGTGTACAGACAGAGAGATCGAAATACCATTTCCCACAATCCCGAGCAACACAAAATACCAATATATATATATATATAAAAATCTGTATGAAATATGTATATACATATATATACACAATCAAAAGACACATTTATACATATGCCTAAATAAAAGCACAGTTGCAGTTTTTTGGTGTGAAGTTCTGTGAACGCACATTTTTCGGAACTATATCGGAACTATACTGGGAAAAGTACTCCGGTGTGAAAGCGCCTAATGATTAATTAAGTGTTTACAACCTAATTCATAACCTAATTATAAACCCGTTAGGAATCCTTTATGAGGGTAGTCTTATTGTAAAGTGGTACCGAAAATAGTTGGGGTCATTTTAACTTTATATTCTGCAGAGAAGCCCGTTAACCACACGCTCCTCTAATCCTGAGGGACAGCAGCTGGTCCTCCGTCATCCTGTTTAATCTGTCAGTTCATTATTAGTCTCACCTGGACCGAAGCCAAGCAGCTGCAGACAGTGAGGCAGGGGCTTCATCAGAAAGTGACTCCATCTGTCGGTCTGTGGAGGGAGGAGCTTCCTCATAGACCCCTCCTCTAAATCACCCCCTGTAGGAGCTTCCTCATAGACCCCTCCTCGAACACACCCCCTGTAGGAGCTTCCTCATAGACCCCTCCTCTAAATCACCCCCTGTAGGAGCTTCCTCATAGACCCCTCCTCTAAATCACCCCTGTAGGAGCTTCCTCATAGACCCCTCCTCTAACACACCCCCTGTAGGAGCTTCCTCATAGACCCCTCCTCTAAATCACCCCCTGTAGGAGCTTCCTCATAGACCCCTCCTCTAAATCACCCCCTGTAGGAGCTTCCTCATAGACCCCTCCTCTAAAACACCCCCTGTAGGAGCTTCCTCATAGACCCCTCCTCTAAATCACCCCCTGTAGGAGCTTCCTCATAGACCCCTTCTCTAAAACACCCCCTGTAGGAGCTTCCTCATAGACCCCTCCTCTAAATCACCCCCTGTAGGAGCTTCCTCATAGACCCCTTCTCTAAAACACCCCCTGTAGGAGCTTCCTCATAGACCTCTCCTCTAAAACACCCCCTGTAGGAGCTTCCTCATAGACCCCTCCTCTAAATCACCCCCTGTAGGAGCTTCCTCATAGACCTCTCCTCTAAAACACCCCCTGTAGGAGCTTCCTCATAGACCCCTCCTCTAACACACCCCCTGTAGGAGCTTCCTCATAGACCCCTCCTCTAAATCACCCCCTGTAGGAGCTTCCTCATAGACCCCTCCTCTAAATCGCCTACATGCTGTGGTTGCCTGTGTTTATAGTTATATTATCTTCACTAGTTGTTGACACCACACTCACTTGTAATTGGTTGTTTCCGGTGATTGTCACATGGTGTGGTGAATGGTATTTAGGCATGTGGAGGTTTAGTAACTTAGCTCTGATATCTTTTGTTGACCGACATGTTCAGTACAGACTTTATTATTTATACGCGTCACAACAATGGGCGAAGTTTAGCGTCAGAGCGTAGTACAGCCGGCACGCGCCTGTTTGCTCAGACGTCTCGTGTGAAACCAGCACAAGACATCGTACTGACTACAGTCACAGAGAATCCTTTTACATTCATAGGAACTTTGACATTTGCTCAACACTTTAATAGAATAGATAGAATAGATAGATAGATAGATAGATAGAATAGATATAATAGAATAGATAGAATAGAATAGAATAGAATAGATAGAATAGAATAGATGGATAGAATGGGAGGGATGAAACCCTCTTTAATGGTCACACATGCAGCACACACAGTGACATTTGTTCTCTGCATTTAACCCATCCTAGTACCAGGAGTCTAGTACCAGGAGTCTAGTACCAGGAGAGTCTGTACCGGGAGTCTAGCACTAGGAGTCTAGCACTAGGAGTCTAGCACCAGGAGTCTAGCACCAGGAGTCTAGCACCAGGAGTCTAGTACCAGGAGTCTAGTACCAGGAGTCTAGAACCAGGAGTCTAGAACCAGGAGTCTAGAACCAGGAGTCTAGTACCAGGAGTCTAGAACTAGGAGTCTAGCACCAGGAGTCTAGCACCAGGAGAGTCTGTACCAGGAGTCTAGTACTAGGAGTCTAGCACCAGGAGTCTAGTACCAGGAGTCTAGTACTAGGAGTCTAGCACCAGGAGTCTAGTACCAGGAGTCTAGCACCAGGAGTCTAGTACCAGGAGAGTCTGTACCGGGAGTCTAGCACTAGGAGTCTAGCACTAGGAGTCTAGCACCAGGAGTCTAGCACCAGGAGTCTAGCACCAGGAGTCTAGCACCAGGAGTCTAGCACCGTACCAGGAGTCTATGTACCAGGATCTAGCACCAGGAGTCTAGTACCAGGAGTCTTAGCACCAGGAGTCTAGCACTAGGAGTCTAGCACCAGGAGTCTAGCACCAGGAGTCTAGTACCAGGAGTCTAGCACTAGGAGTCTAGCACCAGGAGTCTAGTACCAGGAGAGTCTGTACCAGGAGTCTAGCACCAGGAGTCTAGCACCAGGAGAGTCTGTACCAGGAGTCTAGCACCAGGAGTCTAGCACCAGGAGTCTAGTACCAGGAGTCTAGCACCAGGAGTCTAGTACAGGAGTCTAGCACCAGGAGTCTAGCACCAGGAGTCTAGCACCAGGAGAGTCTGTACCAGGAGTCTAGTACTAGGAGTCTAGCACCAGGAGTCTAGCACCAGGAGTCTAGCACCAGGAGTCTAGTACCAGGAGTCTAGCACCAGGAGTCTAGTACCAGGAGTCTAGCACCAGGAGTCTAGCACCAGGAGAGTCTGTACCAGGAGTCTAGTACTAGGAGTCTAGTACCAGGAGTCTAGTACCAGGAGTCTAGCACCAGGAGTCTAGCACCAGGAGTCTAGTACTAGGAGTCTAGCACCAGGAGTCTAGTACCAGGAGTCTAGCACCAGGAGTCTAGCACCAGGAGTCTAGCACCAGGAGAGTCTGTACCAGGAGTCTAGTACTAGGAGTCTAGCACCAGGAGTCTAGCACCAGGAGTCTAGCACCAGGAGTCTAGTACCAGGAGTCTAGCAACCAGGAGTCTAGTACCAGGAGTCCTAGCACCAGGAGTCTAGCACCAGGAGAGTCTGTACCAGGAGTCTATACTAGGAGTCTAGCACCAGAGTCTAGTACCAGGAGTCTAGCACCAGGAGTCTAGCACCAGGAGTCCTAGTACTAGGAGTCTAGCAACCAGGAGTCTAGCACCAGGAGTCTAGCACCAGGAGTCTAGCACCAGGAGTCTAGCACCAGGAGTCTAGCACCAGGAGTCTAGGAGTCTAGCACAGGAGTCTAGCACCAGGAGTCTATGTACCAGGAGTCTAGTACCAGGAGTCTAGCACCAGGAGTCTAGCACCAGGAGTCTAGCACCAGGAGTCTAGCACCAGGAGTCTAGTACCAGGAGTCTAGCACCAGGAGTCTAGCACCAGGAGAGTCTGTACCAGGAGTCTAGTACCAGGAGTCTAGTACCAGGAGTCTAGTACCAGGAGTCTAGCACCAGGAGTCTAGTACTAGGAGTCTAGCACCAGGAGTGGGAGTGAGGGGGGAAGGGGGATGTCCTTGCTCAAGGGCACCACGGCAGGGCAGGAGGAGAACTGGGACCTCTCCAAGTAGAAGTCCACACTCCATATTTAGGTCTGGTCGGGGACTTGAACCGGCGACCCTCCGGCTCAAAGTCCAAGCCCCTAGTGACTGAAGGGGCTTTGCAAGTAATGGATGTTTGGTTACCGTATGTTTTGTAACCCAATGTCCCACAAGATGGTTAGCTTAGCATACAGGGGAAACACTTTGCACTATCTGAAGATAAGGAAATGCCTACAAGTACCAGCATTTTGTTCATTTGGACCAGGCGCGCTATACCATCTGTCTCCGGTCTTTGTGCTAAGCTAGGCTAACCAGTTATACAATTGAACATTAACAATGGAGCTGTAGACCTTCCACCCACCAAAGCATTTCTCCAATTCACTCAGTAAAGCTTTAGTGATCATCTGTTGAACTGACCTGTTAGCAGAGTTACTAACCCCTACAAACCAAAGTCATATGGAATTTACTTTTAGGAAGACCTTCGTAGTTCAATGTTTTATTTGTGTTGGATGTTTATGTGTCCGGCAGCCATGACTGATCACTTTTCCTCACCTTCTTGTCGCCACCGTCCTCTCCATCTTTGTCCTTCTTCCTCCTCCCTCGTCCTCCCTTCCTCTCGCGGACCTTCTTGGGTTTCTTCCCCTTACTGATGCACTTCTTATAGATGCAGAATCCCATACAGAGGATAAGGGCCAGGACCACCACCACAATGGCTCCTATTGCCCACA